AATGTAGTGCAGATCATTAAATTTTGTGGACATTTTCTATAATGAAAATCATTTATAGGGAGGTCTCTACCCTTAAAAGCTTGCTGAAACACGAATTTAATTATGATTCACTGTGGCAAAGTTTGATTATATAAAACTTCACACAACATATTTGGGGCTGTGCAAGAAAATAAATGAACTAAACTAATACTAATAAAGTAAACAAGTAATAATAAATATATATGAAAAGTTTTTTTTTTCAATGTATCAATGTATCAATTATAATAATTATAATGTATTTCTTCATTTATTTCTCCTGCTATATTCCTCCCTTTTTTTTATAATTTTTACCTTGCAAAAAATTAATAGTGGAGACTGAAAATTTGAATGAAGAATTTATTAACAGTGTTTATGAAAATGAATTTAATGAATCTGTTGATAGTAATTATAATAATGATGATGTAGAATTTATCAATAATAGCATCAACAATAATAACAAAGAGATTGAAAATGAATTATCAACAAAAAATAATAAATCTATTATTCATTCAAATTTTACCTTAACCAATGATACTAAACTATATCATTGCAACCACTGCAGGTATATTAACTTTAATTTAATACATTAATAATAATAATAATGATTATATATTTTTTCTTATAAGTAAAAATTATAAATGGCAGAAAAGTGGTACCACTTCCACCTTACGTAGACATTTATTTAATAATCACCCAATATTGTTCAAAGAAAAGAATGAAGGTCCTTTGGATCAGTTTATAAAATCAAATGAGAGATTAGTATGTAATAAAATTACCATGAATTATTTATATATAATAAACAAATAATAAAATTTTATTCTAATTTATAATAGATATTTACTCAAGATACTTGGAATGAAAATCTTATTAAATGGATAGTTGAAGATGATCAATCATTTAATGTAGTAGAGAAACAATCTTTTAAAACGTTGATTAAACAACTGAGACCAGCATGGTGGACATTCTTTGTTGTTACATAAATGTTACACCGACTATTTATATTTTTTAAAGTACTAAAACCAGTC